GTTTGCTGATATTCTGAGTCTACATCCTCCGGAAGAGGATGCTGTTGCAGAAATTAACGGTGGAGCTAATGGCAATGTGGGGAGCCTCGGTTAGTGACCGGTGTTTTAATTTGAATTTATTTTAAACGTGAATCTATCATGATACTGATCCAATTTTACGTTTTGATGCACCACTATCTGGGATTATAATCACGAGATATCTACAATTTTATCAATCATTAAAACCTCAGCCTTGGCCGATTCTAAAAAATATATCTCAAACAGAGACTCAAACAGAAACTCAATGTTTATATCTGCTGCAAATTGGGAAAATTCGATATCATCCTCAAATTACATACCTCAACTCTGGAAGTACCTCGGAGATTGTTGACCTGTCTCAAGATGATATCGAGCTAGATGGTGAGTGGAAATGACACGTGATAATGACACGTGGTGTTATGACAACAGGTGTAACGGGGCATGATGACAAAGCGGAAGTTCATTATATGTATAGACAAAAATAAATTGTTCGGGGTTTTTATTTATTATTAGATTATTATCCTGTGGTATTTTCACGTAATCGCACCCAGATTTTGGTTTAGATGCATGTGTCAGGTTGTGGGTTGAAAACGCCCACGTGGTAAGCACGTGACAATTGGTAACAATGAATGTAGAGCTCTGCATGGTTAGTTCAGATTGTGTGTTTTAGTGTGTTCTAGTCATGTGTTCTAGTCACGTGTTCTAGTCACGTGTTATAGTGTGTTTTAATGTGTGATGGTGACCTTTTTTTGTATGCTAGTAGTATAGCCTTTCACTTAAATTTTGGCTCTGAAAATTATTGAATCTCGCAGTATGACTTGCAAATCTTTACAAATACACTTACATAACAATAAGTTAAACGTCAGTCCAATAGGCTTGCTACTGTAATTAATAGCAATCCGTGCATTCTTCTCGGCAGCTTTATCTTAATTAAAACACTTCATCTCAATTTATTTATGGCCATAGTTGATAAAACTCCCTATAAGTATAATAACTAAAGTTTCAATAAATTGCTCTTCTGGAAATTCAAAAATAAATAAAAGCGTTAACGAGATTTGATTGAAAATAATTTCTACCCGTCACATACAAAATATGTCACGTGACTAATCCCATATCTCAGGGAGTGATACTCTGCGAAGGAAACGTCACACGGGAGGAAATCTAAAGGGAACTATAAAAAGAGTGTTCGGAAAAATGAAATCATATCCTATATAATAATGAATGTTGTACCAAGCACCTGCTATTGGACCTTAGGATCCGAACCAAAAGACCTGGCATGTTACTTAACTATCCGAGATAGGGGTTTCAATGGTAAGAAAAACTTATAATGGGCATACCGTAACTCAAAGTGAGTAACGGGCAGTATACAACCCATCATCCAGTGTCTCCTAAATACAAAATAATCCAGGGCCAGGGGAGTCAGAAGGATGTCACTTTGAATGTTTTATTCATTAACCAGGTCGAATTGGGCAATTAAAACCGTCAAGAATATTTAAAGAATTAGGACGTTTTGACGTGAATTTTAACTGGGGGAGGTTGCCCATCTCGGAATTGAAGTATTAAGAATATATATCCAATAAAACCTTATCACTGAATCACGTGACTTGATTCCATGTCCGTTATTGGCCCTCAGGAGGCTGAGTACTATGCTCCATATTCATGATAACCAGGTTTTGTGCGAGCAAATTTTATTCGAGCAAATTATATTCCGGATAGGTGCGTTGACATGGGACTAGAGATTTGTTTAATAAAGAGCTCATCTTTGAGCACTTGTCTGCTTGGCGACAAGAATTCAACAATAGATCACATACTGAAAAGGTGTCCCAAACATTCACAGACAGAATACGTAAAGATATAAGGTCTGACTGAAACGCTTTCAAAAAGCGTTGGTCAAATTATTGCCAAAGCTTAAAGAATGAGTTATACGAAACATCAACCGTGTTACTGTTATCCAAACTCATATGGAGACTCAAAAGAGACACTAACAATATGAAATACACTAATAACTTGCAAATATTAACAAAATGCCAATAATACAAGCTTGGTGCGAGAATGAGAAACTTGTGCCTGACATAAAAGCTCATAATCATCAAAAATCCGACCTCCGCCTTGTCACAAAATATTAATTTCTCTTTTAAACTAATAACAAATAATTTAAACATTAAGATTCTAACGAGCCAGGCAGTAAAAACTGCAGGGGAGGTATGCAATGGGAGAGCCAAGCTCACGAGATTTGTCGAATTAATTCATTTTGTTATACTCATTTTGTATCATTTCCTTGTAGCCCAATACAATTATTGTTTAACTTGAACATTTATGAAGAATTATGTAATTACAGAAAGTGTCATTTCCTTGTAGCCCAATGCTCCAACGGAATTGTTTAACTTGAAGATTTATGAAGAATTATGTAATTACAGAGAGTAGCAGAAAACTTTTAAATGTGGCTCGAAAGCACAATAAGACCAAACATAAGTTTTTAGCGATTTTACCTGGGGAAAAACGTAAATCTAGATTTGCAGAAATCGGCCGACCCGGGTGTTAAAACCAAAGATGATGCACAACCCTAAAACAACTCTGGCCAGAGATTTGGGTCTGGCCTATATAGGCGAGGGCATTGCATGCAGGAGAGGGACAAATCGTAATATGCTAAACTAATGGTAAGCGCCCATTAAAATAGGATAAACTATGCTCATCCACATGGGACTCAGTGTCTAAACGTTGACCGTTTAGAACTGACATACTATGCCAACTTGGAGATTTTTCCGAAAGGGGTTAGTTTTGGGTCCAGCCGGGATTGCATGCAGGAGAGGGACAAATCGTAATATGCTAAACTAATGGTAAGCGCCCATTAAAATAGGATAAACTATGCTCATCCACATGGGACTCAGTGTCTAAACGTTGACCGTTTACACCCCTGCGCGTGAGGGCACGTTTTTGCTAGTATAAGTTGGCGACGTTACTTTATGGGTATCGAATCTCGCGACTTCAACGAAGTTTTCAATAATTCATAGACTTTTCAGCCACTATCATTTTAAGCATCGTTAGGGCTTTCCCAGAAACACTGCACTGCACTTGTTTTAGTAAAGAGGGAAGTCGCCTGTAAACCAGAATGACGTGTACGTTTTGGTCACCTGTAGAAAACCGAAGTGAAATATCAAAAAATCTGAGACAAACCTGGTGGATAAAAGCCTTTCATCTCAGGTAGGTGCTAGTCAAGATCTTATCTCTTTAGACCTTAAGATGGCCTCAAACACCTCGTAAAAAGTATTCAAAAGTACAATTTACTCCAGACCTCCAAAAAGCACCATAAAACGTGCTGTCGCGCGCGCGCGACAGCAGCAGTTAGCGGCAGTTAGCAGCAGTTAACAGCAGTAAGCAGCAGTTAGCAGTAGTCAGCAGCAGTCAGCAGCAGTTAACAGCAGTTAGCATCAGTTAACAGCAGTTAGCAGCAGTTAGCATCAGTTAGCAGCAGTCAGCAGCAGTCAGCAGCAGTCAGCAGCAGTCAGCAGCAGTCAGCAGCAGTTAGCAGCAGTCAGCAACAGTCAGCAGCAGTTAGCAGCAGTTAGCATCAGTTAACAGCAGTTAGCAGCAGTTAGCATCAGTTAGCAGCAGTCAGCAGCAGTCAGCAGCAGTTAGCAGCAGTCAGCAGCAGTTAGCAGCAGTCAGCAGCAGTCAGCAGCAGTTAGCAGCAGTCAGCAACAGTCAGCAGCAGTTAGCAGCAGTCAGCAGCAGTTAGCAGCAGTTAGCAGCAGTCAGCAGTAGTTTCTTTGCACTATGGTCCTCTTGTGAAAGTAAAGTGGCCAACTACTAGCAAAAACGTGCTCTCAGGGGGCACGCGCGGGTGGTTTTGAACGGATTTACTCTGCCAACTTAAAGAATTTTTCCGAAAGGGGTTAGTTTCGGGTCCGGCCGGCATTGCACGCAGGAGAGGGAAACATTTTAATATGCTATACTAATGGTAAGCGCCCTTCTATTATTTAAAAGTAAAATAATAGAAGAAAATATATCCTATGTGAGGTTAATCTGTAGTCTATGTAATAAGCGCCATGAGTTGGCACAGAATTTTTTGTCTCTGATTTTGATAAAATTGGTACCAAAAGTTGCCTCTAAGTGTGAATAATGCAAATTCACCGTGTAGCAAAATAACGTCGAGCTATATGTGGGCCTCCTGTGCATTACAAGAATGTATAAAGGACGAAAAATGGGTAATTTATTGCTTAAAATGCCTATAACTCCTAAAATATTGAATATTTTGAAATAATTATTACAGTATCGTAATGATCTTAGTCAGACGCAACTTTTGGTACCAAAATTATAATATTTGAAGCACCAAATTTTTCAAAAATTTGTTCAAAATTTCGCACAAGGGGGGACCCTTGTGTTCAGATTGAAAAATTTGGAAAATAATTTTCTTTTAAATCTTAAAATATTATTACTAAAAGTTTCGTCTCGATGAGCTGATTATGATGCCATAATAATTATGTGATAATAACTGAAAATGTGAAAGTTATAGGCCAAAATCTAAAAATTTGCGCGAAAAAAGCACGCGCGGCGAACAAACGCCGTGTAGCATTTTTAGCGAAAATTGCTACACGGTGGATTTATTTTATTCACATTTTTAGACAAATTTTGGTACCAAATTTATCGAAATCGGAGAAAAAAAGTTCTGTGCTCGCGCTTGGCGCTTATTACACTGACTACTGTGCTGATCGGAGAAATCGGAGTAGAATCTACCTTGTTATCGATTAAAATTATTGCCTGTGATTATATTTGTCCCTCACAACACACATGCAGCTGTTTCTAAATCAAATCGACCACCTGCAGTAATGAAGTTTTGAACTGAAAAGTGATGGCATTGTCGGAGGCCCTCCTTTCCCTGTCTCTTCGTGTCAGAGTCCCCCACACAGGGCACATGCGCCACGCTGTGATTAAGTTACGTTACCATGGTGACTATATTTGAGTATTGGCCCAGGATGCAGCTCACACTCGACCAGAGTGGAAATACTATCCTTCTTTCTCCATCAGTTATATGTGACCTGTATTGAATATTCATTCTCCTTGTAAAACTGAGCTAATCTGAAGGTGCATTTTATTGCTTTCTCAGTGTTGTTTTCTTTTCGTGGTTTTGCCAGCACAAATCAGACCTAAGACGTTCTTTGCTCAGATACCATATAGCTGTCCAAGTTTGTCCCTTAATGTCCCTGAATCTGTGGTACTATGGTGTGTCTTGCAGATCCAGCAGCTCGCCAGAGAGCCCGAAGAGACATTAAGGAAATGATTGACAAGCGGTTAACTTACCGTAAAGAAGTCTTGCTTCATGACGAGATTCCCCCTATACCCAATGTGAGGAGAACTCCTAAGGAACTTTCCAGAAGTCCAGTTTACAAGAGAACAAAGACCATGATACCGAGGAGGATCAACAAAATCCTCATAAACAGGAGCAGACAGGTCTTCAACGAAACAGCAGCATCACCAGAATCAGAAAAGCCTTGCGTAGCCGTCTCGTCTGCCTATTTGGATAGTGACCATGATTTCGGGTACTACAACAGATCGAAACGTAAAAAGAGCACCACTATCCAAGACCTGACTCTTCAACTGAAGGAAACAAGACGGCTCCTTGACGTGCTGAAAGAATCAGAGGTTTCTCATCATGAGGCAATCAGTCACGAGAAACCAGTTAGGAGAAGAATTGATATGGAGGTTCAAGGAGCTGGGAAGATAGCTGATTTTGTTTCAGCAAAAGAGCTTGATTGCGAATCAATTGAATCAGACTGGGAGGATGAATACAGGGGGAGAATGAGAACTGGTGATGACGACAAGTTTGACGTTAAGTCATCTTATCCGGATGAGGATTCGGATCTTCAGGAGTTTGAAGATTTGGAAGGAGCCGCAACAAAAACGTAAGAATTGAGAATATGTTTGACTTGTATGCAAAACAAATGGTGGTAAGAAATGTTTCTATCTTTCTATGTAATGTAACGAATAAATATATTTTGCTCTAATGAAGGTTCATACTTTGACCAACCGGCAACCCGATATAAAAATATGTAGGTTAACAAGCCACTCTTACCTTCTTGCAATTTTCAAATCGATAAGTTCTATAACTGAGGAAATCTCAGAGCTGCCCCAAGTTAGCATGGTGAATGGCAAACCTACCAACCTTATTCAGCATAGTGTTTTTATAGGGTAAGGGTTTGGTTGAAATCTAGTTCCAGGTTGAGGACTAAGGCCGGTTCGGGATAATATTAGTTCAGTTCTGATACTTGTAGATCAACTTAAGTTTATTTGAACTTGGAGATTTGGTCATGAACAGAATTAATTGCAACAATTACTCAAGTTACTCGTGGTATGTTATAAATCTGTCATATCATGCTTCCTTGACGTAAAAACCAAGGGTAGTAAGTTAATCACAACTCACTAAAGTCCCCTCAGAAGTGTTTCTTCCGGTCCAAAGAACGAATCAGACCCGTTTACGGACTCTGACAACATGGACACTGGGGTCAGCTTGCAGGAGGAGCTGGACATATCAAAAGAGTTTGTACTATTTCCACTTTATAAGTTTATAAATAATCTACTTATTAGCTAAAGCTTCGTCTTCATAAATCATCACTATCTTGTCATGCTTGATTAGAATTAGGTGGCTTGTAGTTGTGATCTTCTTTGAAAGACTATCAACAAAACAAAACACCGAACATCTCAATTCCCAGGTATGAAAGTGACGGATTCTCAATGTGCTCCGAGAAGATCTCGCACGGGGAAGCTAGGAAGATGCTATCTGAAAGCGAGCAGAGGTTTTCAGCTATCGTAGACTCTTTCGACCAGGTTGACCCTGATGATAGTTTCTTGGAGAATGAGCTGCTGATGCAGCATGAAAATAGTAGACTTGGTAAGTTGGAGATTATTTGTAGACCTTTAGTATTTTGAATACATTCCAAATCGTGTAATATCCGAATGTGAACATTGATTATTGGTCGCATAGTTGTACTGTTTCTTGGGCAACATTTTTAGTGATCCCGTTTATTGTCGCAATAAACGGGATCACTAAAATTTTGCCCCCAAACACATTTCGAATCGAAGGTACACATATAATTTAGATTGTCAGGTTCCCAACTATGAATTCAGTTTTAATCTTAAAGTTAATCCTTGTGTATACTATACTGTTAAAAAGTTACAAATCTTTATATTTATATAACTGCTTACTGCTATAAAGTTCAAACATGCGCTTAAGATCGGGGCTCGGTCCAAATATCCAATTCTTCTAATGGCATTATGCAATATAATAGACACTTGTGCACCTCCTAAATTGGTATAATCTTGTATCGGTGATATCAAAATGCCTTAACACACACATATATAGCTTATGAGCTAGAGCGATTCATTTGTATTAAAGGCTATCAGTATAGTGTTATACCTGCTTCCCAACGGTTTATCCGCTAGAAATTCTCCATTTTAACGGTTTATCCGCTAGAAATTCTCCATTTTAACGGTTTATCCGCTAGAAATTCTCCATTTTAACGGTTTATTCGCTAGAAATTCTCCATTTTAACGGTTTATTCGCTAGGAATTCTCTATTTTAACGGCGCGGTTTATTCGCTAGAAATTTTCCGATTTAACGGTTTATTCGCTAGAAATTCTCCATTTTAACGGTGTATTCGCTAGAAATTCTCCATTTTAACGGTTTATTCGCTAGAAATTCTCCATTTTAACGGTTTATTCGCTAGAAATTTTCAATTTTAACGGTTTATTTGCTAGAAAGTATGCTCAATTTTGACTATTTTTCAGAGGATATCATGTCGGTTCCTTCCTCTGTAGAAGATCTGAGGTTTGATAAGGAGGAACTCCCTCTCCTGGACACAGAGTTAGTTAATTTCATATTTAATCGTTTTTAGACATTGTTTGAGCTTAGAACTTGAAGGAGCCGTATTTATCATAATATGTCCTTTGAAATGGGCTAACCAGCTGAATCGTTCAATACAAAACGGATGGTCTAATTTTCAAACTGCCAAGCGAAATCATCCATAAAATGTTTCAGATCGACCGTGACTGAGAACGAGATGATGATACCTGTGCGACATGACCCTCAAGAGAGGCCATCACTCAGATTCTCAAAACAGTCTCAAGAACAGAAGGGACGGGTCATGCACCCAACTCCAATCAAACCCACTGTAAAAAAGACATCACAACCCGCTAAAGCAAAGGAGAACATTGATTTTAATAACTACGAGAACGACTTGAATGATATTGAGAACTTGCTGTTTAAGTATGATGAATATAGAATGGATCAGGAATTGAAGAAAACTGATAAGAAGGCAGATTTGGGAAAGAAAAAACTTGAGAAAACTGCTGTAGCAGGGACTGTCCAAACTAACAATAAAGTAACGCAAGGACCTATCAAAAAGATATCCGATGGAATCGGCAGTAAACTGAAAGCTCCTGCAAAGCCTAAGTCGACAGCTGTTGTATCTAGTTCCAGTGGTATGACAGGTGGAATAAAGACGGGGATCGCAAAAGGAGTCAAAACAAACACGGCAGTAAGGAAGCCACTCATTGCACCGAAAAAGTTATCTCCCACAAAAATCAGTGCTAAGCCATCACCGATCAAACGTGCAGAAAAAACACCTTCCACATCTCCGGTCGCAGTTAAAACTTTACCGATATCTTCGGAAAAGGATGTAGCTAATGAGGTGGACAACGCTGGAGCGAAACCAAAACCAGCAAGTCCTGGAAAAAGGACGTTGATTGGAACAAAACCAACAGGAACAAAACCTTTGGTAAAACCAAAACCAGCGCCAATTTCGAACAGGATAGCCACATCAAAAACATTTACCTCAACATCAAAACCGGTAGCGAAGGATACCTCGGGACAAAAAATTAAGAAAGCTGCGGTGTCTCCTAATAAGGTAATGAAAAACTCTAAAGCTGTATCTCCTTCTAAAGGTCCAATAACGCCTTCGTCAACGAATGCACTAGTTTCTTCGAAAACTGCTTCAGCAAAAACGTTTGAGAAAAAATCATCGGATGTTAAAGAAACTTCGTCGCCAGATAAAGTAGAATCGAAACCAGCTCCAGTCGCCAAAACAAAACCATTAATATCCTTTAGGGCATCGCCTCCGAAAACCTTGACGAAAATTCCAGCTTCCGGTATTGGCACTTCAAAAGGAAATTATGTAAGAAGTGCAATGATGGCGACGGCAAAATCCCCAAAATCACCAGCCACCAGTGTGTCAGTTGATAAAGACGATACTTTCAAAACATTTAACGAAGAGAGTAAGACTGTGCCTCCCAAAAAAGGATTAAAATCATCACCAATAAAAGTTCCTACCAATAGCAAGCTTTCTCCCCCTAAAAGTAAACTTTTACCAGTAAAGTCTGCTCCTGTGGGTAAACCTACGATTCCTAAATTACCATCCAAGCAAGGAACTCCGTCGGCCCCTTCAGCTAAAAAGTCGAATAATCTGCAGACAAAGCAATCTGAAACACCCTCAAAATCAGCTGCTGATAAATCAGTTACCAGCCCAAAGACACCTACCATGACACCTTCATTCGCATCAAAAAATAATGTTGCGACAAAACCTTCAATAGCGTCAAAACTGACTGCTACAGCAACTGCTTCATCGAAATCAAAATCTTCCCCTAGGCCACCTCCAAGTTTAACCAAGAATGGATCTACAAAAAGTCCATCAAAATCCGTTGGCATTGCCAAGCCAGCAGGCACGATTTCAAATTTAGCTAAATCGTCACCCGACAAGAAATCAGCGTCTATAGCTTCAATAAGTGGGACGATTAAATCAGCGGGTATAAAACTTTCAAGTAATCTTGCTGCTAAAGAAGTATCAAATCAGTCAACAAGAAAATCTTTGGAGCCTTCAAATGATGTTAAGAATACCACTAGTTCTCCAAAGCCCATTTCGATACCCTTTAAAAGTTCTCCTCCCAAAACCACCTCGGGTAAAATAGCTCTCTCTAAATCATCTCCAGTTAAAACATCTTCAACCAAAACAGCAACTCTAGTAGCTAAACAGTCTCATACAACAACTTCTGAGTCACCGAATTCTCAAAAGGAGCTAAAGATTCCTCCTCCTAAAGCAACATCAACTCCTATCAAAAGCAGTGTACCGACCACTAAAAAATCCCTTTCACCAACTAAAGCCACCACGAAAACAATTCCATCTCCAAAAACAACAGCTGTCACTAAAAAGACAGTATCAGCGATTAAGCCTAAACAAACTCAATCCAGTGGGAGTACTGCGAGTAAGTCAGCATCCAAAGACACTGTTAAGGAAGCTGATAAAAGTTCACCAAAGTCTCCCGACAAAACAATCAGCAAAATACCCAGCCCTTCAAAAACTACTCTTAAAACAGGAGATAAAACTAAAACCGGAGATAAAACCAGTAAAACACCGGCCTTTAAACCTGAAGTTAGCCCTAAACCGAAGGTCCACACGAAAACCTCTCCAGTAAAGACGGTTCAGAGAACCTCTCCAGAGAAGACGGTTCAGAGAACCTCTCCAGAGAAGACGGTTCAGAGAACCTCTCCAGTGAAGACGGTTCAGAAACCAACGCCTGTAATGAGGTTTTAGGTGAGTAATCATTGTTATCATTGTAATCATCGTAATAATTTTTACACCGTTATTTGAAATCGGAACCATGTTTATTGTTAAGTAATATTAGAAAATGTGAGATGGGCTTTTTATTCACAATCTTTTTGTATTTGTTGACAATGTGTGAATTACAAGCTAGGATTAGCGTATATATCGTACATGGGTTAACGTCTGTTGTTCTTGTTTGTTGTACCGTAAGTTATGAAGTTCATAAAACTTAAAGAACAATATATTTTCGTCTAATTAAATTCTCTCCCTTGATGAAATATCCTACCGACTGTACAGTAAGATATCAGTAACGTTTAAAATAAAATTAAAGCACCTTTAAAGATAATGGGAATTAGAGAATGAGTTTTAAAATTTGTGAGGCATCTTTATTTTTTGTTGCCTAGCTGACCGATCAGAAACAGTCATTTAATATTTAGTTTAGTTTAGAGCAAGCCTAGTGATGTTGCCAACATATCATGATGAATATGACGTACAGGTTGAAATATGTACAGGTTGAAATATGTACATAATACATATTAGAATATGTACGATGTACATGTTGGAATATGTACGGTATAATTATAGTATGTGTATATAACCATGAAGCAGGATGTCAACTATTAGAAGTTAATTGCCACTCAAACAACCAAATCATCACCCCAACTAGAAAAAGATTATATTAATAGCAGTAGACTACAATTAAATTGCAACTCACGGCAGGAGACAGACACTGCCCAACATTTCCGCGTTTACCCTTTTCTTTTCTTAAATTACACATGTTTTACTTCAACCCTTTAATATTTTCTCGTTATCTTAAGTCATTCTCACATAATGAAATGTAACCTAATAGTAACCATGGTAATAACCATCACCTAATGGGCTGTAACCATTGACAACATTTAACTGCACTACGACATTGGCACGGGTAAAATAATGACACGGAATAATGAACAATTATACCGCTCTGTCCGCTTCCCAGTCAGCGTGTGAATGCTGAACAGCAAGTGATCAGCCTCAAGTGGCGTGTTAATGTACTGCACATGACTCATGACCTTATCTTCTTCTGTTGTGAGTAGGTAAATACTTTAATACCCACGTTATAACCGCTATAATTGCTACTTATATCCTTATATGGGTAACATGGTGAGATGTGAAGGTGAATCAGGGTGACATTACACGTCGCATTCACCGCAGTGAACTTAGTTTAAATCAGTGATTTGCCCTCGTTAATATTACCTGTCTGCATTGTTACAGCTCTGTGATTATCTTTTAGGATGTTTGTGGTGGTTACTCCAGTGTTTACTACTTACTTGCAGCGCCTGTCATTATAAGTACCAAAATCAGTTAATTATTTTCCGTGTTTGAAGTTTGTTTAGGGTTGTGAGATTTGTCGACAGATTTTATGGGATCATGTGCTTCTTGCTGTAGAAAAAGTGAGTTGGAATTAATGTTTGATCAGTAACCATGACAATAACCATAACAGTAACCATGACTAATCAGTAATCATGGATGATTGTTAGTAACATATGTATTGACCGAATTAAAACTTACATCACTTAACTGTAATAAATATTTAATATCCTGGTGAATGTTAGCCTATTTAATACGCGATCTCGTTATAATAACAAATTGCCATCAGTAAAAATATTTTGTTTAGCGCGGCGGTAAATCGGGGTTGTACTCTTTTTATTCTACAGAATTAACTGTACGTTCAAATGTTGAACATTATTTATATACTGTCCGGTGTTTTAATTTTTTTTGAAAGTTGTCCTTTTGTAACATGTAATTGCTTTGGAAACAATAAACATACTCCATTTCTAGCTGTTGTTTAAGTATAAACAAGTGTTCTCTCCAGGAAATGAAGACAGGAACTCCTACTCTTACTCTACCCTAGGGTGAGGTGGTGTGTGACGATTTTTCTACTGCACGTGCGAGCGCACTATCACGTGATTTGTTTGCTACTTTAACAGCTTCACACTTTAACAGTTTACAAGTGTTTTTACCTTATTTTGAAAAGGTACATTTAGTGTTACATGTGTGTTTTTAAACTGAGATTATTTTGAGAATGATGGGATCATGTTCCATTTTGCAACCTTTTGTTTTTTGGTTGGATTTTAGTTTGCAGTTTTGCTCACCGTGGGTCATTTTTATGGGCCGGGTATAAACAATTCATGTGATGATGTTTGGGCGAATATTCAGGGTCATGAGATTTATACCATCAAGATTATTATTTGTACGAATTTGTAACCATTATTGTAAATATTTATCCATCGTTGAATGCTAATAATGCACGGATTTTCTAATTTGTTTGAAAAACTTTATTGCTATTGGTTTAAAAATTGCAATAAAGCATCAAAGTTATTAAATATTATAATTCAAATAAAACTTAAAGTTTCCGATTTCCTCAACAAATATAAAGGTCAATAACAATCAACAAGCTCAATATGTAGATATCAGATATTGGTCTAATTGAACTTATCATAACATATCAGGTCACTTACTCTCAGAGGAACTGGAACAGCCTTCTCTACACACAACCTCCAGGTTAGTCTGGTGGGGGGGGTACAGCCTTCTCTACACACAACCTCCAGGTTAGTCTGGTGGGAGGGGGGTACAGCCTTCTCTACACACAACCTCCAGGTTAGTCTGGTGAGGGGGGGGGGGGGGGGGTACAGCCTTCTCTACACAGAACCTCCAGGTTAGTCTGGTGGGGGGGGGGGGGGGGGTACAGCCTTCTCTACACAGAACCTCCAGGTTAGTCTGGTGGGGGGGGGGGGGGTACAGCCTTCTCTACACACAACCTCCAGGTTAGTCTGGTGGGGGGGGGGGGTACAGCCTTCTCTACACAGAACCTCCAGGTTAGTCTGGTGGGGGGGGGGGGGGGGGTACAGCCTTCTCTACACAGAACCTCCAGGTTAGTCTAGTGGGGGGGGGTACAGCCTTCTCTACACACAACCTCCAGGTTAGTCTGGTGGGGGGGGGGGGTACAGCCTTCTCTACACAGAACCTCCAGGTTAGTCTGGTGAGGGGGGGGGGGTACAGCCTTCTCTACACAGAACCTCCAGGTTAGTCTGGTGGGAGGGGGGGGGTACAGCCTTCTCTACACACAACCTCCAGGTTAGTCTGGTGGGAGGGGGGGGGGGGGGTACAGCCTTCTCTACACACAACCTCCAGGTTAGTCTGGTGGGGGGGGGGTACAGTCTTCTCTACACAGAACCTCCAGGTTAGTCTGGTGTGGGGGGGGGGGGGGGTACAGCCTTCTCTACACAGAACCTCCAGGTTAGTCTGGTAAGGGGGGGGGGGGTACAGCCTTCTCTACACAGAACCTCCAGGTTAGTCTGGGGGGGGGTACAGCCTTCTCTACACAGAACCTCCAGGTTAGTCTGGTGAGGGGGGGGGGTACAGCCTTCTCTACACAGAACCTCCAGGTTAGTCTGGTGGGAGGGTGGGGGGGGGTACAGCCTTCTCTACACACAACCTCCAGGTTAGTCTGGTGAGGGGGGGGGGGGGGGGTACAGCCTTCTCTACACACAACCTCCAGGTTAGTCTGGTGAGGGGGGGGTACAGCCTTCTCTACACAGAACCTCCAGGTTAGTCTGGTGGGAGGGGGGGTACAGCCTTCTCTACACACAACCTCCAGGTTAGTCTGGTGGGAGGGGGGGGGGGGGGGGGGGGGTACAGCCTTCTCTACACAGAACCTCCAGGTTAGTCTGGTGAGGGGGGGGGGGGTACAGCCTTCTCTACACAGAACCTCCAGGTTAGTCTGGTGGGGGGGGGGGGGTACAGCCTTCTCTACACACAACCTCCAGGTTAGTCTGGTGAGGGGGGGGGGGGGGGGGTACAGCCTTCTCTACACACAACCTCCAGGTTAGTCTGGTGGGGGGGGGTACAGCCTTCTCTACACACAACCTCCAGGTTAGTCTGGTGAGGGGGGGGGTACAGCCTTCTCTACACAGAACGTCCAGGTTAGTCTGGTGGGGGGGGGGGGTACAGCCTTCTCTACACAGAACCTCCAGGTTAGTCTGGTGGGGGGGGGGGGGGTACAGCCTTCTCTACACAGAACGTCCAGGTTAGTCTGGTGTGGGAGGGGGGGTACAGCCTTCTCTACACAGAACCTCCAGGTTAGTCTGGTGGGGGAGGGGGGGTACAGCCTTCTCTACACAGAACCTCCAGGTTAGTCTGGGGGGGGGGGGGTACAGCCTTCTCTACACAGAACCTCCAGGTTAGTCTGGTGGGGGGGGGGGGGTACAGCCTTCTCTACACACAACCTCCAGGTTAGTCTGGTGGGAGGGGGGGGGGGTACAGCCTTCTCTACACACAACCTCCAGGTTAGTCTGGTGGGGGGGGGGGGGGTACAGCCTTCTCTACACAGAACCTTCAGGTTAGTCTGGTGGGGGGGGGGGGCGGGTACAGCCTTCTCTACACAGAACCTCCAGGTTAGTCTGGTGGGGGGGGGGGTACAGCCTTCTCTACACAGAACCTCCAGGTTAGTCTAGTGGGGGGGGGGTACAGCCTTCTCTACACACAACCTCCAGGTTAGTCTGGTGGGGGGGGGGGGTACAGCCTTCTCTACACACAACCTCCAGGTTAGTCTGGTGAGGGGGGGGGGGGGGTACAGCCTTCTCTACACAGAACCTCCAGGTTAGTCTGGTGGGGGGGGGTACAGCCTTCTCTACACACAACCTCCAGGTTAGTCTGGTGGGAGGGGGGGGGGTACAGCCTTCTCTACACAGAACCTCCAGGTTAGTCTGGTGGGGGGGGGGGGGGGGGTACAGCCTTCTCTACACACAACCTCCATGTTAGTCTGGTGGGGGGGGGGTACAGCCTTCTCTACACAGAACCTTCAGGTTAGTCTGGTGGGGGGGGTACAGCCTTCTCTACACACAACCTCCAGGTTAGTCTGGTGGGGGGGTACAGCCTTCTCTACACAGAACCTCCAGGTTAGTCTGGTGTGTCGGTGATTTTGGGTTTTGATTTGCCACTGCTTTGATTAAACGATGCCAACCCTTTCTGGCTCGTAAAGCTTCATACTATAGCACGATCTTAGTCTTACGATCTCCTTTATAGTGGTTAGTCACACAGAGATACTGCGGTGCAGGAGCAGGGGAGGTGGACAATAGTTGTTTTATACGTGACAGTGCACAAAAGCAGAAGGAACTAAATTAATTTTTGAGGAGAATCTTTTTTAATTTTAAGCGTTTTAATGCTATTAGCTTATTAAGATTCGATGTGTTTGCAAAAGAACTGTTTATTTCATCATTTAATGATTAGTCAGACATAAATACTGGTCGAGAGGTGCACAGTAATTCAAATTGTTTTTACACGTAAAAGTGGGCGCGCGCATGATGACGTGTTATATTTATATCTTGATAAGGTCCACTTCTCAAAAAACATTATTATTTCAGTTGTGTCAAGGTTGCAGGGTCCCTTGGAACAAGTAAGTAATAATGAGTGTACCAGTGCAGGGAATATCGACATGAGAAGTCAAATTTATTAGCGCCATTCTAACCGGGCACAGTCTTAGCCGGAGTTCTAAAAAACCCAATTTGAATTTGTATTAACCATTTGGCATATGCCAGATATACGGACGATTGCCTTTTTGAAGGACTTTATATCGCACAAAATCCCATAATTCATGGCCGAAATCGTGAACACGTGCACTATCCATTACCAATTGTCTTTGTTGAGGGTTCCGCAAACTACAAAACTTTAACAAATGGTCGCATGCTCGTTGCTTCATCAGCTTTAATGGCTTCTGTTTTCTTGGATTGCGGCTGTGTGCATTCCTATCAGTTGTCAACTTTTAACAATGTCTAGCTTATATTTAGAGCTACCACAACAAAAAAAGATACAAGTTGAACTTTTTAAATTTAGAGTAGCCTATGAGCTAGATTATAAATCCATCATTAGCAGAGCTCAATGCAGCATCATAAGCAAGTAACTGGTTAATATTACAAGTGGACCTTTATTGCATGATGTAAAATGCAACTTTTCCTCGTGTTTCAACTCTCAATATACAACTTTTCCTTGTGTTTCACTTCTCTTATCTTTGTAGCGAGACATCACGTGCCGGACCTTGTGACCGGTGTATTGTCAGACAAAAAGACAGGTGTAGTTTGATAGAAGAGTTCCTACAGACGGAAATTATCTACAACGATCATTTAGTATCCCTGAGAGAGGTAAGGAATCTCAAGTCTATCACTACAAACCTTAATTTGTATATTCAAAACTTTATAAGCGGGCTTAGATTTCTTCCGGAGAGATATGACTTGTACAGGGGTGGAAGTTCATAGGAGAAACAAGATAGAAATACTGTTTACGAGTGGCTGGTAAGGAAAATATTTATGCCATCCGGGGGTATTCTTGTTCATAGTATGGGCTCATAGGGTGATTGAGCAACCCGATGTAAATTGTCACCACTCCAACTGTGCAGGAGCCTCTAAACAAGAAAGGGAGGAGCTTCTTTCGGAGTGCCATTCTAAGATCACGTTTCTAAGCTGCTAAATTTGTGTCAGCGTGTGCAGAAGCGTCTAGACTCATGATTAAAGGGGGTTAAGGGAATCCCCGTAACCACAGTAACTGTAACCGTTGTAACCGTGGTAACGTAACGTCACCACGTCAGCTAGTTACTTTATCAGGATGTACAGAAACTGGGTGGGAGTAAGGTTTTTAGAGACAGCTTAGTAGAGGGGATTCCTGTAACCGTAACCACACGTCAACTCTTAGAGTACTAACATTTACCTTTACCAGAGTGTACCGCAGAAGCCTCTAGACTCCAGTAAGGTTTTTAGAGAGTTAGAGAGCAGAGTGAGAGAGAGGGGAGATTCCTGTAACAATAACCACACGTCAACTCTTAGAGTAAAGAAGCCTTTAGACTCATGATTAAAGGGGGATTGAGGGGGAGTATGTCTGTAACTATAACACCACGTCAACTACTAACTTTAACCTTTACCTCGACCATAACTACAAGTTTTTAGAGACAGCTCAGTGTCTATGTATAGAGGGGGGATCCTGCAACCATAACCACAAACCAGTTACCAGACGTCAACTTCTAACATTACCAGGGCGTACAGAAGCCTCTAGACTCCAGCACATTGTTAACACCAGCGGAACACACCAAAATATTTGCAGAGTTGAAGGTTAGTTTTAAAAGTTTGTTCAGTGCTGTAATAGTACAGTAGTGGTGTTTTGTAATAGTACCCTGATTTATTGCAGCTGGTTCTTCCAGCGCAGGTGTTTAAACTCAAGTATAAACTTTATTGTTATTCCCCAGTTTTTGTAGGAAATGTATCACGGACTCCGCTTTTGTTTGCACATGAGCAGATATTTGTTTTGATAATCTTTATCTTTTCGACCATTAACATTGCCTTCCCAGCTCCTATTTAACTTAAATATTGGCAGCTCTAATTTCGTTTTGACTTTTATTGATTTAGTACTCATGGTGGCGCTGTTGGCAACTTCACCGCCAACTTGTTGCCAAGAGTCACTCACTTGTTGCTAAGGATCACTCTAATTCATTCTATCTTGTACAGGATCTTATATATTTGAGTAACCGAGTAATCGCTCTTCTGAACGACGCTATCAAGAGTTCCATTCAGCACGGTGATCAGGTAATATTAGTGAAGTTGATCTTTTACTTTTGTTTATTTGTTGTTACGTTGTTATCTGCAACACCAAAACGGTTTAAGCAAAACGTCAGCCGCTTGAAATTGTTCAGGTGTTTTTGTTAAACAATCCTGTTTTATTGTATGTATAGAATACGACGAATTGCTCCATGCCTGATGCCACACTAACAGAGATTGGTTTGTTCTAGTAACTAATATTCATAACATTTCAATCTTCTCAGCATTTGGAGAGAGTTGAGATAGGGCGGATATTATTCAGAGTTTGGCCTCACTACAGCTGCTTTGTTCCCTTCGTTATCAAGCAAGTAAGAGTTAAGCGATAGGGCTGGTTCAAGCAGGTATAAGCTATAAAGTATTTCTCGGAAAATTGATTCCTTAAATTGTCATTATGGCCCTTATATATAGAATGTAGGAATTATAGAACACCAAGTGGCCATGTATCGTTACAAATAGTTATTCTTTAAGATTGATATTTCAATATTTCATGTGACCGTTTGTAACCACACCCTTATAATTATTGTCACTGTGTCTGAGCTATTAGCAGTGAAGACTGAATTAGGTCACAGTTCTAAGAATAAAACGTCAGAATCAGTTTATACCACTATAAACGATATTACATCAAGCATAAGCACTGAGCTATAAAACCATTTCGATATTCATCTGATATCTGGATTCATCAGTTATCTTCAACTTTTAAGCGCATGATAAACTCATGCCCGCATAAATGTTACTCCTCCAAATAAGTTCTGGAAGTCATACATCCCAACATATTGAAGTATTGAGTACTTTGTAAAATGTAGTCACGTAATAATATAATAAGTTGCTGATGGTTACGTATTGTTTTGTGCGTTACTTAGTGCAGTATGTGCTGCTCAACACCAATATTAGCTGAGTAATAGTATTATTAGTATCACAAACCTTCTATACTCAAAACATTGTGTGGCTTTCCAGCCAGATATTTGATAACTTGTGGTTACGTTTTGTTTTTTGCGTTACTTTGTGCTACTCAACACCGATATAAGCTGAGTAGTATAGTAGTAGTGTAGTAGCATTGTTACTAATAGTATAACTAGTAGTGTAGGATAACTCAACTTTGCACTACACCGCCGCCAGTAGCAGCCACCACCAGTGATTCTGGCCACGCCGCCGCCAGTAGCAGCCACCACCAGTGATTCTGGCCACGCCGCCGCCAGTAGCAGCCACCACCAGTGAGTCTGGCCACGTCGCCGCCAGTAGCAGCCACCACCAGTAATTCTGGCCACGCCGCCAGTAGCAGCCACCACCAGTGATTCTGGCCACGTCGCCGCCAGTAGCAGCCACCACCAGTGATTCTGGCCACACCGCCGCCAGTAGCAGCCACCACCAGTGATTCTGGCCACGCCGCCGCCAGTAGCAGCCACCACCAGTGATTCTGGCCACGCCGCCGCCAGTAGCAGCCACCACCAGTGATTCTGGCCACGCCGCCGCCAGTAGCAGCCACCACCAGTGATTCTGGCCACGCCGCCGCCAGTAGCAGCCACCACCAGTGATTCTGGCCACGTCGCCGCCAGTAGCAGCCACCACCAGTGATTCTGGCCACGCCGCCGCCAGTAGCAGCCACCACCAGTGATTCTAGCCACGCCGCCGCCAGTAGCAGCCACCACCAGTGATTCTGGCCACGCCGCTGCCAGTAGCAGCCACCACCAGTGATTCAGTGGTACCGTGCCCTTAAGTAAAACTCACATTACCAAATTATAATTATATGATTAACTCTCACTAGCATTTCTTTGCTACCCAACCGCTATGCAGCAACCGCTTTGCTACTAAATGTTTTAGATGCGACTCATAAATAATATTCCTATCCGGATATTACACTTTTTAGATAATGATGTGAAGTGTCCAGCATAACACTTATAACATTACGTTTTGTGCTTTTTCCGTTTGTCCGTGCCTTAATCACTAGTGTACTTTCAAAAATGTTTTGCGTAGCGTAATCATTAGTGGTTAAAGTTTATACTTTTATAATAGTTATACAGTTATCGCGTATGGTAATATCGTAAAATTTTGTAAATGGCTTGATCACTAATTAATCTTGTAATCCGTTATGCAGTGGCTTGGTCACTGTTCGAAGGAGTCATTCAGAATTAACATACGGCTTCCTCGGGAGGCCTGATAAATATAAGATCACCTGCTCATATATTCGTGTCAACGTTTCAACAATAATCGTAAATCCCTTATTGCTTTTAATTTGAATCACCTGCTAATCTGATGATTATTTTACATTTTTGGACAAAAGTTTTAGCAATTAAGTAATAATAGCAATAAAATACTTAGGAAACGAATCTACAAGTACTGACGGAGCTAGAATCTACTTCAGAAGACTTTAGCAATTAAGTAATAATAGCAATAAAATACTTAGGAAACGAATCTACAAGTACTGACGGAGCTAGAATCTACTTCAGAAGACTTTAGACTCTTACTGTGGGAAGCTGATATAGCGGACATCGGATCTTTGGAGAAACTATTCCAGAAACCATCCCTCCGCATTCACAAGTAAGTATTTCATCAACACTAAGCAGGTATTAGAAATCAAAGAACATCAACTTTTGTCGGTTTAGATCCCGTTTGATATTTTACCATAATATTTTAATAGTTGGATTTAATTCTTTAATATAATCTAGTAAATTAAGAATATCTGCATGTTACTTATACTTGTAGTATGTAGAGTTGTGAATTGTAAAGAATATTCTGTTGGCAGGTTACCAAGCTTTGTTGATCAAATACTAGAGAAAACTCCCCTGACGCATTGCGACAGAAAAGCATTGCAGAACACCCAGCAAAAGGTCCAAGAACTACTCACAAATATTAAAAAGGTAGAACAAACAAGAAAATGAAATAGAAATACCAGCAATTCAACTCCATTGCACGTACAATTATAAAGTTATTGACCTATCAGGATTACAATCTAATACAGCAATATTAATGTATACAAATCTGTTTTGAAGTAATTCCAGACCATGAAGTGTTAGTAAACCTTTTTGAAATGTTCTCAGCAAAATCTTTTCAGTACTCCACCAGACGAACCCCGGCCTCGAAAGAAAGGAGAGCACCACCTGCAAAGCCTAAACGTAAAATGAAGAAGTCAAAGACCTCACCAAAACGCTCTGACTTTGGAAAGACTTTCACCAAGAGTCCTAACAAACGGAAAAGTTTAAACCCATTTGATTCCAGCTCTTCTAGTTCCTCTGAGTACCATGAAGTAGGACCTGGTGAAGTAGGACCTGTTGACGATGATAAAAGTGAAGAAATGAAGCGTGATTCTCTAGAAAGGGCGTTCCAAGTGATTGAAAAAGCTGAGGAGGTAAACTGTGCATCTCTCGAACGGGCCCTACAAGTCATCGAAAAAGGTGAAGAAATAAACTGTGATTCTCTCGAACGGGCATTTAAAGATCTCGAAAAATCAATCGAATGTATGGAAGCCAGTTCTCAAGTCCCAAAAGTTGCGTTAGATTCATCAGAGGGTTCAGAAAAACGGACCACAAACCTGTCAGTAGTTGAAGAGTACTCTCCAGGCAGCCCCGCTAACTCCAGCTTTGAGGGTTCCCTCAGACTCTCTCCCAGGATGGCACGTGCAACTATCCTCAGACCTCGCAGTGCTTCTCCTAGAACAAGGAGCTTCTCGTTTGGGAGGGATGAGAGTGAGTGTGCAGATCAGGAGTATAATAATTTGTGGGAGAAGAGGTCATCCTCACCGGGTATTATAGAATACCTTTCCGATCGATCTGTTACCAAAAGTCCCAAGTTAAGGGGGCAGGGGGGGTCTTTTTGAAATTTCTCTCGAAATTGATTTTATAGTTGTTTTTGATAGAGGAGAGTGATATCTATCTGTTGCTTTTGGTCCCATGGAAAAATATTGTTCCTAGCCAAAGTTATTGCCGGTCAAAGGTCAGCGCTCATGTGTAATTGTATTGCGCGAGCGATTTTCAATCGCGCGCCCTGAAAATCGAGTCTAAAAATCTATCTTCTCCTACATTTTTTGAGCAATCACCTTGAAACTTTCAGGATATGTTCTAAGGACCATTTAGAAACTTCTGGTCGATCAGAATTTTGAGATAGGCCTTTTAAAATTTTTTATTCAATTTTGAAAATCCCGGACCTTGAAAAATCGTCAAAAAACGAGGTCCAAGATTTTCAAAATCGAATTAAAAATTTTCTAAGGCCTATCTCAAAATTCTGATCGACCAGAAGTTTCTAAATTGTCCTTAGAACATATCCTGAAAGTTTCAAGGTGATTGCTTAAAAAATGTAGGAGAAGATAGATTTTTAAACTCGATTTTCAGGGCGCGCGATTGAAAATCGCTCGCGCAATACAATTACACATGAGCGCTGACCTTTGACCGGCAATAACTTCGGCTAGGAACAATATTTTTCCATGGGACTAAAAGCAGCAGATAGATATCACTCCCCTCTATCAAAAACAACTATAAAATCAATTTCGAGAGAAATTTCAAAAAGACCCCCCCCTGCCCCCTTAAATCCGAAGAAGGATCAGTCACTGAGTAAGCTCCATACAGTAGAAGGTGACAATGAGATCAGGAATGAGAAAGAAACAACTGCAGAGCCGCACTCAGTAGAACACTCTCCTCAGAATACCTCTCAGCCACAAACTCCACTTCCAGAGTCAGAAGACTTAACTCCTTGTAAAGCCAAGAATGCTTCAGTATCTTCCACGATAGGGGACGAGTTTTTCTTTGATGAACGAGATTTTTACGAGATTTCAGATATGGAGTCGGACACATCCTTGGATGAGTTTGAGCTCAGGTTTGTGCCATTTCATTCGAATTTCTGAGATTAGCAAATGGTGGAATTTCCCCTGCATCTGCCCAATCCACTATTTCATCAAGCTGCTTCAAAATTGCTTTGTAGATCACACCTATAAGTATAATGAAACTGAATGTTACAGATCGAAGGGGTCGGAATTAGAATTATCAGATCTAGAATCAGAAAGGTATTGGTCAACTCAGAAATCTAAAAATCCGCCAAAACCAGGTAAGTGCTAAACGATTGATTGCACTAATTAAGTAATTCATTTTCAGAAATCGAATGTCATCATTTCTATGAAAACCTACACTTAGTTTGTTACCATTTCGTCTTCATTCTTTTTCCCGACCGAAATCTAATTCCCGACCAAAATAGAACATGTTATTTAAATGATTATTTCTCGAATAATTAGAATGAAATTAAATATATATAATGAGTCCAAAGTACGTGCTTCCCCTCCTCGAGCCATCCTTCTAGCTCCACACCTACAAGTCATGAGTGCCCGTTATTCAGACAGATCCGTGACCGTTCGTATTACTGAGACAATGACTATAATTTCTCGCTCTTAAGACTACTACGACTATATCATTCATCTCTGTATAATAGACGCTGTGAGGAATTACCACTCATTTCGTCATTTGTATTCGTCTAGTGCGTAAAGTACAGGTTACAAAACTAAAGTTTCTTTTATAAACAGAACCACAATGTTTTCTAATCTTTCTCTTAGAACATTATAAACAGTGATATTATAAACAGTAACATTATAAACAGTGATATTATAAACAGTAACATTATAAACAGTAACATTATAAACAATATCATTATAAACAGTAACATTATAAACAATAAAATTATAAACGCTAACATTATAAACAGCAACATTATAAACAGTAACATTATAGACAATAAAATTATAAACAGTAACATTGTAAACAGTAACATTATAAACAGGGACATTATGAACAATAACATTATAAACAGTAAAATTATAAACAATATCATTATAAACAATAACATTATAAACAGTAATATAGAAGTTATAAACCTCAATATTTTCAGTAGACCAGATAACGGAGGAGGATAACAGTAAAACGCTGACAAGAGATGAAGCAGACCCTGAGTCTTGACACAGCTGTGTCCTGTAATCCAATAATATGATATAATAATTAATAATATGATATAATCCTGACCCCTTATGATCCTCTAATATGGCCCATATTCTGTGATTCTGCTCTGAGTGCTGAGTGCAGACCCCCTAATCTGGCTATATAAGCTAATAAGCTGCTCTATATATCGTGCTACTTGAGCTACATTTGGGTATGTATTGTGTATTTTGTCATGGTAATGCGACGAGTGAGATGATTTAAGACGTGTCCCTTTGTCCGTTGACAGGTTGAGTATAGTGGTAGCTGGGTCACGCAACATTCATTTTTACTTAAGGACACGTTCATTGAAGTTTGAGGAAATTGGTAAATTTCTAAAACAGCGTTTTTGACGATAGTGGTTTAATTTTAACATATATTAATCTAGCGTGTTCATAAGTTCTGAACATTAGCCACGTGACCCATACTCCCATATGCACTGCTCAAAAATAAAATGTATTGCTTTTAGGCACTATTATGTAAAAAATGTCACATTTTTGTGACATTGTTTACCATAGCTGCCCAATTAGCATTTTTTGGTCTAAAATATAGTAGATTAGGTCAATCTAACAATTATGATACAATGTAGGCCTAAAGGGCAGTGATCGAACGGCGTTAAGGCAACATTTCGTAAACTTTGTCACACTCATAATACGATACCTCTTTTCTACTGTGAGGTGTCCTCAAAACTTCAAAACCCTTTCAACTCATTATTTGATAGTTCTTCTGCCAATCATAGCCCTAAAATATGTTGTTTTGAAAAGTTAACAAATACATGCACTTGGCTATTGGGAAATGATGTAAATTCTGTCACATTATATGGAATTTGAAATTCTGGGTGAATTTCCGAAATCATTTATATCTGATTTTGGTTTGGAAGGCGGGGAAACTCTATATGAGGACGATACACGGATACAGTTGATTAAAGTATAGGGCAGTTGATGTAAACATCGTCACAAAATGATACGAAATCGTAAATGAACACGTTCATGTTGAAGTTTAAGGATATTGGTAAACCAATAGCGTGTTCAGAAGTTCTGGACATTAGCCACGTGACCCATACTTCCATATACACGGCTCAGAAATACAATTTATTGTTTTTAGGCATGCTATAATATAAAAAATGTCACATTTTTGTGACTGTGTTAACCATAGCTGCCCAATTAGCATTTTTTGGTTTAAAATATAGTAGACTAGAAACCCGCCGCTAGTCGAAAGCTTTGTTCGAGGAAATTTTAAACATCAGTTATGTTTTAATTTCTCTTCATCATATAGCCCCAAAACGATACTTTTTACCGCATCAAAAATGTCAATCACAACCAAAGTTATAAATATATATAGGTATATAGCGTCATGAGGGTAAATGTGAGCTAGTTGTGAAATTCTGACGTAGCATACAGCATAACACCGCGCGTTGAAATCCGCTGTAGTCGAAAATTTTATTAAAGGACACTATAAGGGAGCGAATTTATCGTTCGAATTTATCGGTCATCGCTAGTCAATGGTCAAACAATCCAACAAATATGCTTTAGTTCCCGAACCCTGCTTCACTGAAAATATATGAATTACACATTTGAATCATTTCGGTAAATGTCAGGTCCCTCATCGTCTCATTTGATAGATCTGTTCAAATTGAAGTTTTTACGTATGAAAGTTTTTACGTATGAAAGTTAATGTTAAAGTGGATAGATACAGATACAACAAATTTTAGATGATATTTATAAAGCAAGAATGGTAATGTAACGACGTTTAAAGTTAAATATATGTAGGTTCTTACGATGAGTCACGGTGTCTGAACTTTTTCATATCTTTAACTCTCACAGCAAATCGATTGTGCAGAGATCTCCGTTTAGCAGGTCTAGATCCAAGAAAGGGCATTGAAAAACAACAACAGATGAGTAAAATATGTTAATCGTTGGAAGATATTTCAATCGAGAATGACAGTCAATTGAATTATTGCCAGGCATTTAAAATGGCACGTGATGTTTAACTGCGCAAAGTTATTTGCGTAATTAGGAAACAACAATATTTTTGTTGATTGTGTGTGCGCGGCGTAATGTCAGCATTGTGTGTAGCTCTAGCGAAGAAACCCGCTAGTCGAAAGCTTTGTTCGAGGAAATTTTAAAAATCAGTTATGTTTTAATTTCTCTTCATCATATAGCTCTGTTATACTGTAGACATAATGGAATTTATCTAACAATGGCGACAGCGTTGTTAGTATTCGGATTCCCAAAACGATACTTTTTACCGCATCAAAAAATACCAATCACAAACAAAGTTATAAGAAGTCATAGCGTGAGCGTAAATGTGAGCTAGTTTTGAAATTATGACGTAGCATACAGCATAACAACGCGCGTAGTTAAGATGTTTTTGCTCGCGCACGTGCATTTTAACGTTGCTACGCAACAGCGCAGTAAACCTTTGCTAAAATAACGACATTATTCTAACGGTTATTTTACCTCACTTCCGACGTTAATTATAAAAAATCTAAAGCCTAAATCAAAATTCTAAGAATGCTATAGCCTATTCCTATCCTTTTTCTACAACCCTGCTAAAAATGGCGAGGTTTCAACTCCATTTGCGAGCTGGGTTTGGCATCACCAGAGGGTCATTTTGAGGTCGATTTTCGGTGTTTTTTCTTCTATGTCCCCGTTGCCGGGGAAATTTCGTCAAGTTTAAAATATAATATAGATAATTAGGTCATTCTAACAATTATGATACAACATTTGGCTAAAGGGCAGGGATCGAACGGTTTTAAGGCAATATTTCGTAAACTTTGTCACACTCAGAATACGATACCTCTTTTCTACTGTGAGGTGTCCTCAAAACCCTTTCAGCTCATTATTTGATGGTTCTTCTACCAATCATTGCCCTAAAATATGTTGTTTTGAAAAGTTAGCAAATACATGCACTTATTGGGAAATGATGTAAATTCTGTCACATTATATGGAATTTAAAATTTTGGGTGAATTGCCGAAATCATTTATATCTGATTTTGGTTTGGAAGGCGGGAAAACTGTATATAAGGACGATGCACGGATAGAGCTGATTCAAGTTAAGGGCAGTTGATGTAAAAATTGTCACAATAATAATAAGGGCAGTTGATATGAAAGAAAATCTATCTAACTAATGCAATGGCTGATGTGACGAAATTTACATTTCTTGACCCTATTTTGAAGAAACATGCCTCGATTAGAATTCAATATTCTTCCAGGAATTATTAGTAGGTCATTATTCAGCAAATCAGAACTCAAGTTTAACAATTCTGAGTTTAATTTTACTAAGTTACCGAAATGTGACGAAATTCACTTTTCCTGCCCCAAAAGTATAATTTCAATGCGATGAAAAATGGGCATGGGTTTCTATATTTCCTTATCTCTGAATTAATCATTTCAAACTATAATTAGGACTGTTGATGTGTAAGAAAGTGTATCTAAATTTTACAATGACGTATGTGACGAAATTTACATTTCTTGACCCTATTTTGAAGAACCATACCCCGATTAGAATTCAATATTCTCCCAGGAATTATTGGTAGGTTATTTTTCAGCAAATCAGAACCCAAGTTTAACAATGCTGAGTTTGATATCACTAATTTACCGAAATGTGACGAAATTTACTTTTCCTGCCCCAACAGTATAATTTCAATGTGATGAAAAATGGGCATGGGTTTCTATATTTCCTGTATAAATCCATTCCAACTATAATAAGGGCAGTTGATATGAAAGAAAATCTATCTAACTAATGCAAAGGCTGATGTGACGAAGTTTACATTTCTTGCCCCTATTTTGAAGAATCATACCTCAATTTGTATATAATGTTACTTTATCACCATCACTATGTCGATAAATTAGTTATTTTGCCAACACGGAGCAAATAAAGTTATAATATTTTTTTTGTGACGAAATTTACAAATTTTTACCCTGTTCAGGTGTTGAAATTTATCCAATGTTAACATATCACTGCCATATAATAATTTATATGACCGGCGTATGGTTGAAATATTGTTAATTGATCCATAGTACATAATATAGGGTGTTTAAGTTGGTATACTAATATTTACTCAATTTCACACATGATGAGATATCATACAAATTTATGTGACTAAATTTACCTATTTCTGCCTTCTGTATTTGTATTTGCCTATAACAATGAAATATGTGAACAATTCCAAACACATTCAGCTCACAAAATAATGCTAGACTATTCGGCATTTCTTGTCAGGATGTCATAAACATCCATCATATAAATTTCTTAAATGTGTGACGGAGTTTACATGGTGCTACCATTTAAGGAAAAAAGTCGCTAAATATGTAGATAATAGTCATATACAGCTATTCTATGAATTGGAAATTCGAAAATGTGGTCAAACACGGCAACAAGGGGTCCATATAAACTCCGTCACGTTTTTATAGTGTGACAAAGTTTACAACTCACTGCCGGCCGCATTTAAGCGATATCTTATCGTCTGATAAAGATATCGTTATGCGACAAAGTTTATCTAGAGGATGAAACGATTATCTTAGGGTTAGAGGGTTTATATAGTTTCATAGTGTGACACATTTTACATCATCGTGCCATTCAGTAGGGTCACTAATATTTACCAATATCCTCAAACTTCAATGAACGTGTCCTTAACCACTTGCTCCTTCATGAAATAATTCATTATTTATCAAAAAAGTCACACTTTATGCGGTACACCATGTACACATGACTGTCATAAAGAGGAATAAATAACTTTGCAGAGTATCTAAATATGGTGCCCGCTTTGTCGTTGTTGGGCAGATGGACTATTACAATGTTTTTATTTATTTAATTACTTCACTTTACTATATGACTGGTTTTAATAATGTTTATTGGTTATTTGAATTTGTAATTTTCATATTATTTGCTTATTTGCATGTATAAAATATTTATATCGTAATACGTTTACGTACCGACGACATAATACTATAATAAGCTCAAAATGCATTGTAAAAGACAACATCCCTTACAATGACAATGATACAAAACATTACGCTTATTCTGTTATTATTTTGCAAAGATGGAGTTTGAGAAATTGGCGATTGTAATGTAAAAAATACATTTTTCCTATGTAAATTAATATAAATTGAATATTTGATATCTGTGAGCATTTAATTAAATGTGTATTTATTGTCATCAGCAATTGTTGTCAATCACTTAAAAATAACAATCTAGATCTTCTATAAATCTTAAAATTATTCTTTTACGTTCTCAAGGTTGTTGTTAAGGCGTGACTCCGCACACATTCCTGGACCATTGAATGACTCCAGGAATTAATGG